AGGTAGTTAAGTGTTGAGGGCTCCAAGTCAGGCTTCCTGCTGTGTTTGCTGTCTTGTTTTACCACTTAGTTGCTCTGTAATCTCGAGTAAGTTTTTAGCTTCTTGCCTTGGTTTGTGTACCTGTTAACGGGAATAATAATAGTGTTGTGCCTACCTTCTAAAGTGGTTGTGAGGATTCACCAAGACGATAAATACAAAGTGCCTGGAAGAGTGCCTGGCACATAGTGAAGGCACTGTAAATGTTAGCTGTTGGTTTTATTTAAAATTTTTTTTAGCTATTGTGATTTTTAAGTGCACTTTCAGAAATCTTTCATACTGGGACAGACTTGCTCCAAATCTGATGATTGTGACTTAAGAACAGAAGATCCTAGGAGCCAGGTTATTACCCTGGGTCATGGTCCTCTGCCCTGCCAATGTCACTGCTTCTCTTCTTCCCTTTGTGGGTGGGGTGATGTGGGGCAAGGGACGTTAAATGGTGAGAAGGGACCCTGAAGCTGCCCCAGCCCAACCTGACACCTGTCCTTCTCTTTGCTCAGGCCGCAGACATGGTTTTGGTCAACTAATGTTTGCAGATGGTGGCACCTACCTGGGCCATTTTGAGAACGGGCTCTTTAATGGCTTCGGGGTACTGACCTTCTCAGATGGCTCAAGGTGGGTACTGGGCCATTCTTTTCACAGCCTTACACTAGGGAAGAGAAGCTCTGATCTAAAAATGATAGTGATAAATAGCTGGTCAAACCTGAGCTTGTCCCAGGCCCTCTGAAAACAGGCAAGGAGGAAGCAAGTGTTTGTTCTTTTATTGGTTACTTTACAAATAGATCTAAATTTTGAAATGGCAAGGAGGTGAATGACCTCCCACCCCACCACTGTCCTCTGATGCTATTTCCTTGAGATTAGGGCCTCATATCATACACACTCTCTGACCCTTCTCTGCTGGTTGGGAGTAGGGTAGGAGGGGTTGGGCGAAACTCTGGAAGAGTGGAATCAGCTTTGCTTCTTGGTGTTAAGAAACCACATATTTGGCACTGGTGGCCTGAGTCATCCTGGACAGCTCACTACCCAGCTCAAGGCTGACATCTCATGTGTCTGCAGGTATGAGGGGGAGTTTGCCCAGGGCAAGTTCAACGGCGTGGGAGTCTTCATTCGACATGACAACATGACCTTTGAGGGGGAATTTAAAAATGGCAGAGTGGATGGTTTGGGTGAGTTGCAGCCGAGCAGGACGGGTGACTTAGGCAAGCATAAGTGGGTGGGAGGACACCTATGAAGCTTTAATCCCTCTGTGGACACCCAGAGAGCCCTAGTGACCAGGCACCGACACCGGGTCATTGGCCCCTCGGATAGAGCTCCCCCAAGGAAAGCTGCACGTTTTCTGTCCCTTGGCCTTGACGTAGCAGCTGATCTCAGAGCCACCCATGCCACTGTCACTCCCAGATTTTCTCTGTCCCCCTCAAAGGCCTGCTGACTTTCCCTGATGGTTCTCACGGAATACCCCGAAATGAAGGTCTGTTTGAGAACAACAAGCTTTTACGGCGCGAGAAGTGCTCCGTGGTGGTCCAGCGGGCCCAGAGCGCCTCCAAGTCCGCCAGGAGCCTCACCGCCTGACGGGGCACCACACACCAGCTGACAAGTACCAGGTAAAGCAAATGCCAGTTACCTGCTCAAGGTGAACGAGTGAACCCGATGTGAGAGGAGATGAGAGTGACCGTGGAGGAGAGCCCTGTGAGGGGCCCCAGCACCTACCAGGCAGGGCTTTGATCACAGGGAAGTTCTGAGGCTCCGGCCCCAGGCCCTGCAGCAGTGGGTACCCATCTGGCTTTCCCTCTTCCTGGCTGATACTCTCCGTCCCTAACGCTTTGGGTGCAGACCGGCTGCTGTCCTCAACTTCACTTCCTGCCAAGTGATGCAGAATCTTTCCTTCTGCCTCTTTTTGAAGCAGATGATCGCCGCCCCCAGTTTGGACCAGTGCTTTGTGCTGTCCTGGAGAAATAAGGAAAACAATAGGGGTGGCTTAAACAGAACAGCGGTCCTGTGGAAGTCAAGGCCAGAGCTTTTCTGTATGTTACCCCCTCCTTCACTGCTGGTTGGCATCGTGGCTCCAGGCCTTCCACTTTGTGTGAGACTGGTATTCTGCCTGCCTATTCCCCTGTGAAGGGTCCAGTGAAAGTGTTATTCCCCCCACCCCTTACCTGAGTTTCAACAGATGAATTAATTTGTGTCCCTCTCTCCTTCCTTAGACATGGGACAGGATACCTTTAGTCAAGAAAGAAACCGACGTAAACAGTCATCTTACAACTTGTACTTATTACTTACTCCAGAGCAAAGGGCAGATGCCTCTGGGCCACATCAGGGCCTGTCATGAACTGAATCCTTAGGGATGGCTTTGGCTGACACAGCTCCTTCCCAGTGTACCAGTGGGTCAGACCCACCTCAATCCCTTGGGGTTCGGGTAGCATCGGGCCCATCTTGGGATGGCAGTGAACTAAAAGGGCATTTGGTTCACTGTAACTCTTCCACTGTGAGCCTTGGTCATCAGGCTGGGGGATCAGATCTTAATTGATGGGATCCCTGCACAGTTCATCACAGAGGCCTCCAGTTACCCTGTGACCCAAACATGCCCCGCCCCACCCCTGGCGCTGCATCCTCACACTGCTTATGGTGGAACTTAGAGCCATGTGCCTCTATTTATTCTCTGAATTGTACTGTAGAGACAAGTGTTTATGAGGAATAAACAAGTCACCAGAACTGCCTATACTTAGTTTTCTTGACTTTCTTGCTTTGCATCCTTATGACTATTAACCCATTTGCCATTTCTAAAAGTTAATCACAACGGGGGAGGGTATAGCTCAGTGGTAGAGCGTGTGCTTAGCATGCACAAGGCTCTGGGTTCAATTCCCAGTACGTCTATCAAAAAAATTAAATAAACCTGATTACCTCCCCCACCTAAAGGTATAAATAAATAAAAGTTAATCACAGATGGGGGCATGAAACTGACACTGCATGCTTTACTATGTAATATCATCTAATTCTCAAACCTCGGCAGGGTAGGAACACCTAAAAAAAAAATCAGACAGGCTCATGTTGCCCAAACTAGTCAGTGGCAGAGCTGGGTGGGATTTGTAGCCCAGGCTTTCTGATCCCAAAGCCTTTTCCAGTGTACTTCTCTCACCTTGAGCATCAGGGTGCCCAAGTCTTGAGACCAGTTATTGTCACACCTGCTGGGTTACCTCACAAGTCTTTCTCTGCACATTTACCTGCCACACTAACCCTTTGCACACATGATCTTATAAGCCCTGAGAGGAAGGTACCATTATTATCTCTATATTACAGATGAGGCTCAGGGCAGTTAAATAGTTTTCCAGGATCCCATAGGCACTAAAGCACAGATCCAAGTACTTAAGCCTGGCCAGCTTAAGCTCTTCACCAGTACACTAGCCTCTCTAGCCCTAACTTTTTGCCCCACCCCTAAACCTGATTAGGTAGATCCTCCGGAAGCTACTTGGGAGAAGAGCCCAGGTATCAAGCCCCAAGCTTCAGTGCCATCGAGATGTCCAGGTTCTGCTGAAGACTGATACCTTTTATAGTCTCCTTGCCCCAAACAAGGATCTGTTTACCTTTCTTTTTAACCAGAGTAGTTTTTGAAGAATTCATCTCAGGTTTTCTTCCACTAGTCAGATATCACTGAATAAGATTAAACATTTTAGAGAAAGCAGCCTTTTAAATTAACATGTTAAGTGTTTCTAAATATCTCACTTGAAGCTTTTTGCCTCTTACCTCTCCTGTTTAAAACTTCAGTGAGCCTTCCCTCAGGGCGCCAATAATCTAATGCCTGTTGGCTTAGTATCATTATGGCCTCTCTCAGAGCCAGGGAAAAAGCAGACCTTGGGAGCTAAATTGCCTCTAGGAGGTTCTTGACATTTGGGCCGGAAACCTAAGATCTGCATAGTAGTGGAGTGTCAATCTGTACATAGTCACACTAGTTTAACTTATTAAACTTTATTGCAATAATAAATTGTTCTTAACAATAAAAGCAGAGTGTGTATAGGCAAGAGGATGGTCCTGTCTCAGGCCAAGTCCCCTTTCCTAATGTTTCAGACTAGGGTTGGCTAGACTAGTCTTCTAGAATGTAACATTTATCCACCAGGTGTCATTATTTACCTTTCTGGCAAGCCAGTGGGCTGTCTCCATGTACTAGACGGTTGGGATCAAGGCTAGAGACAAGAATATGAGATGAATCAAAATAGATTCAGGAAAGGGCACCATGGCTGGCCTTTCAAAGACCAGTGACACTTTTCTGATCAGGTTTCCTAACCTACCACTTCCCTAGAAGTCAGAACTTGGGTTCTTAAGAGAAGCCCTAGCTTCAGGCTGTCTCATGCGAGACGCAAGTTTGTACCCCCAAGTCTAAGTAGTCTTCCTTTTTGGTGAAACATGGCCTTTCTGTGCCTGATTGGCCCCCTGCCCTTCCCCTCCGGCTTCTGGTTCACATGTCTCAGGATAGGAAAGCACAGTAGGGAGATAAGACATTGCTCCTTCCCCGACGGAAGGTCTCCAGAGACCCAGAGTGCAGGATACAAATGCAAGAGTTCATGGGCTGTGAGAAAAGGAGCTGAGCATGCCTGGCAGTGTCTGCTGAGGGGCTCCCTGGAGGACTGCAGTAAGAAAAGGAGCCTTGAACCCTAGTCCCTCCATGTGCCTCTTCAGGCTGCCGGCTTAAGACAGGAGGCTGAGATGAGCACAGGCTGGACCGGTCCCGGCCCTCAGAGCCAGCCATTGCTGGTGAAATCCAAGCGCAGCGCCTCCTCCTGGCTGGGGCTCAGCTCCTCCAAGGGGGCGCGGCAGGGGCCTCCGTAGTACCCAAACCAGTCCATGGTTTTCTTCAGCCCCGGGATCCCAAAGCGCCGGGTCACCTGAGAAGCAGGGCCTGTTAGAACAGACTGGGGCATCCCCAGCACACACACATCTGAGACCTAGACGTGTGTCACTTTAGAAAGTTAGGGTTCCCACCCTTCTGCCCCGTTAAGTAACTCTACCAAATCTATGACACTTGGGGTACACTGGGAATCCAGACTGAGACCAGAAAGCAGGTCAGTGGTAGAGAACACAATACTAAAACCTAGGATGAAGGAAGAAAGGCACCTCCTTTGGTTTTGGGAGAGAAATCCACCCCACTGGGGAGGAGAGCGGCATTCAGTCCTCGAGCTGGGATTAGGAGAAGGCAGCGACACTATGGGCCTGGGCGCTGGAGCATCACTGGTCTGCAGCCTAGTTCCCTAGAACCTGGCCCAGGGCACACCGGGACTGAGAGGCCAGGCACAGCCCCTGCAGCAGGGCCCTCCCATCCCCCCACAGTCCTCCCTGACCCGAACTCCAAATACTCTCATGGGAGGAAAACAATGCATCATTGTCCAAAGAAGTTTCACTATGTAACCTTGTATCATCAACTGATCTGAGCAAGTTCACTTGCCTGAAAAATGAGGGGGCCAGACAGCATGATCTCAAAAGCCTTTTCTGTTGTAATGGGCGGCCCAAAACTACTGTCACAATTTCAAATCATGCATGGAGTTTTAAAGAAAATGAAGTCTCAAGTTCCTTTGCTTTTAGCATAGCAACTGGTTGTTTCATGCTGATCAGAAGTGTTAAATTCATCTTTGAGTACCTAAAAACTAGGAAAGTAATTATTACTTAATAAAATTTTATTCTGAGGGAAGGTAAAACCTTAGAAATACGGCCTTCATGAAGGGTAAAAATAATAAAAGAGGTTGTTTGGGTTAAAAAGGTTGGGAACCACTGATGAATGAATGACTAACTATTCACCACTAGAGGCCAGTAAGCTTCAGCCAGCCTCCTCCCAAGCCTGGCCCCAGCCTTGATATTCTGATAACCTGGGCATTTTACCCAAAACCTGAGTAGGGTGGGAAAGATGATGGAAACAAGAAGTACACAGAGAAAAAAACTTTCTCCCACCATGGGTGTCTGAAGGTCTCTGATTTGCCTCTCTTCAGACCCTGAGAAAGGGCTGAATGCTTTAGAGATAAAAACCATGGAAAGTCCTAAATATAGCCGGGGCAGGAGGCCGGCTGGGTGGGAGGGCAGGGGAAGCACATTGTGTTCGAGCAGGGCAGGGCAATAAGGTGACATCAAGCTGCTCTTGGGGTGGCTGAGCCTCCAGTCCAGGCAGCAGAAAGGTGTTCCAGGCATTCCTGAGCGTGCGCCCAGAGCTGGCACAGGATGGGGCGCAGAGTGAAGGGTCAAGCGGGATGGCATTCCGAGGGCTAGGATGGCTGCAAGCATCCTCTCTTCCCAAGGGGCAGCCCAAGCTGCTTCGTCTGTAAAATTAGGAGGAGGAGGTAACAACAGCACCCCGTGTCACAAGAATTGGGTGAGAAAATTACCACTATTAGACCAGACCCCAAGAGGCCTGGAAGCTCCTCCTCTTCCTGTCTTGGTGGTCTGCAGGTTCTGGGACCTTCTCCATCACAGGCAGATGGGAGTGGGAGAGGGACGTCTAGTACAACCTGGGCCCTGCTGTGCTCAGGCTCAGCTGAAAGGCCCTCATTTCTGCAGTTCTTAGACCCTATATGTAAAGCATCCTATCCCAGGAGAATCTTCACGTCCAGGGAGGACTCCTGCTTGCCTCCTCAGCTGTCCTTTCTCTAAACCTGAGTTCATCTGTCCCTTTGAGTTAAAGATATAAGCTGTGAGGGAGATGCAGAGTCCCCCCACCTCTTTACCCGAACAAAACACTGCCTAGCTCTGGGACCGCCACCTCAGAGGCAAAACTTGAGGGGACGCCAAAAAACTCAGTCATTGAGGCAAATACTGAATGCAATATTAAAAAAAAAAATAAAAACCAGTGCAAAAAAATCCACGAAGAACAAAGTGTCAAAGTTTTAAATAAAGACAGGATCCCCAGAGCTGTGCCCTGCCCTACTGTAGCCTTAGGTAAACTAAACATGTGTGCCGCTATTTATGGGTTTTGCCTGTTTTGTAATGGTTAATTTTTTTCCTAGAAATAGATTTAGGAAAAAAATTATTTTAATGAGTTTGCTTCCATTCAAGCTAGGGAAATAAAAGTCTTATAAATTATGTTTTTGGTATAGATAAAATATTTTCAACCAAAAAACATGCTGTGAGTTTCAATATATCTAGTTTAAAATTTAAAAAAAATTTTCTTTCAACTACCTTAATGTTCTTCAAGGTGAGGAACTCACCATTTAGAAAACTGCTTAGAGCTTGTACTTCCAGAAGATGAAACAGGTGTACTTTTCCCTATCCTCCCAATAAGTAGAACTAAAAGACCCGGGACATTATATAAAAACAGATACAAGAGTGTGAAAGGCAAAGAGAATGTAGACCAGCTAGGACCTCTGGACCCAATGAGCACACACAATAAAATCCCCATAAAAGTCTGTTCTCTCCGGCCCAGGACCAGGAAGGGGACAGCTGAGCAAGATGGAGAACTTCTAGATTATAATTGCTCTACTTTAGCTAAACCCCACGGGAAAAAACTGTGGCCCGACCCCCACCCAGGCCAGCAAAGGCTGAATTTGGAGCCAGAACTTCTACCCCACACTCAGAGGTAAAGAGTGTCCCTCCGCATCCATGAGGGATGGTCTCAGAAAAAGCCTGGGAGAGTCAGGACTTTGACCACTGCCCACACTTAAGGAGGCCATCCCTGCCAGACACACTCCAGATGTCAGTGGAGGTCAGTAAGGAGGTACTCCTACCCCTTCCAACCAGGAGGTATCAGAGGAGGCCTAGTGCAGAGCTATTATTTTTTTTTAAACTCCCAAAAAAGAAATCTCCAGCCCCAGATGGTTTCACTGGAGAATTTTTTAAACGTCTGAAGAAGACTTAACACCAATTCTCACAGTCTCTTCAAGACTACAGAAGAGGAGGGAACATTTCCCAATCAATTAATGAAGCTATTTTTACCCTGATAACCAAAATCAAAGACAGGAAAAACAGGAAGGAAGGAAGGAAGGAAGGAACGCAGGAAGGAAAGAAGAGAGACTACATACCAACATCTCTCATGAATATAGATAGAAAAACCCATAACAAAATATTGGCAAATGAAATTCAGCATGTATAAGTAGGGTTTATTCCAGGGATACAAGTCTGGTTCAATATTCAAAAATTATTCATGTAACCCACCATATTAACAGGCTGAAGAGAAAAAAGAAATCACATGTTTGTATCAGTCAATGTAGAAAAAATATGACAAAAATTCAATATTCATTCATGATTTTAAAAAACTCTCTGAAAACTAGAATAGAGGGGGAACGTTCTCAATTTGATAAAGAGCATCTATAGAAAACTACAGCTAGCACTGTACTTAGTGGTGAAGAGGGGGATGCTTTTCCTTAAGATCAGAAACAAGGCAAGGATGTCCTCTCTCACCAACTCTTATTCAACATAGTGCAGAAAATTGTAGCCAGTGCAATAGGCAAGAAAGGAAATACAAGGCATACAGAGCAGAAAGAAGAAATAAAATTCTCCCTATTTATAGATGATATGATTGTGTAGAAAATCCCAAGGAATCTAGAAAAAGAAACTCCCAGAACTAATAAGTGAGTTCAATGAAGTCATATAAGATAAACAAGAAAAACTTAGTTGTGCCTCTATACCTACTAGCAATGAACACACGAATAGCAAAATTAGAAATAAAATACCATTTATAATCACTCAAAAAATATGAGCCACTTAGGTGTAAATCTCTCAAAATTCATACAGAACTCGTTTGCCAAAAACTACAAAATGCTGATGAAAAATATCAAAGAAGATCTGTATAAATGGAGATATGCCATATTCAAGGATTTAAAGACAACATAGTAAAAATGTCAAATGTGCCCAGATTGGCATACAGGTTTCATTCCTGTCAAAATCCCAGAAAGAGTATTTGTAGATATAGGCAGTATTATTCTAAAAGTTACATGGAAAGACAAAGGAATTGGCCTAGTTAAAAGAGTTTTGGGGAAAAAAAAAAAAGAACAAAGTGGGAGGAATCAGTCTACTTGATTTTAAGATTTATTACACATCTACCGTGATCAAGTCTGTGTGGTTTGCAGAGAGATAGATCAATGGGGAGAACAGAGAATCCAGAAATAGACCCACACAAATACATCCAACTGACTTTTGACAAAGGTGCAAAAGTAATTCAATAAAGGAAAGATCATCTTTTCAACAAATGGTGCTGGAGCAAGTGGATATCTATAAGCCAAAAGAAAAAAAAAAGAACCTCGATCTAAGTCTCACACGTTTTACAAAAATTAACTCAAAATGGGTCACAGACTTGTAAAATATAAAACTTCTAGCAAAAAACTAGAAAAACTTCACAATCTAGCGTTAGACCAAGAGCCCTCAGACTTGTATCAAAAGCAGAAACATAAAAGAAAATATTGATAAACTGAACCTCATCAAAATTTAAAACTTTTGCTCTGCAAAAGATCTATTAATAGAATGACAAGACAAGCTATGGACTGGGAGAAAATATTTGCAAAGCATGTATCTGATAAAGGACAAGTATCTAGAAGATACAATGAACTTCCAAAACTCAACAGTAAAAACCAATCCAATTAGGAAATGGGTAAGAGACATAAAGAGACACTTCATCTAAAAGGATGTACAGAGGGCAAATAAATACATGATAAGATGTTCAATAGCATTAGCCATCAGAAAAATGTAAATTAAAACCACAAGGAGATATCACAACATGCCTATCAGAATGGCCAAAATAAAAAATAGTCACAACACCAAGTGCTGGTGAGGATGCAGAGAAACTGGGTCACTGGTACATTTACACTGATGTAAATGTAAAAGCCCACTCTGGAAAACAGTTTGTTAGTTTCTTAAAACACTGAACATGCAATAATCCTACAACCCACCAACTGTGTATTCATCCAAAAAACATGAAAACTTGTGGTCATACAAAAACCTATTCATGAATGTTCATAGCAGCTAATAGCCAAAAACTGGAAACAACCAACTATCCCTCAACAGGTGACTGGGTAAACGAGCTGTTTATGGCCACACTGTGAACTACTACTCAGCAACAAAAAGGAGCAGACTATTGCTACATGTGCTTGCATGAATCTCCAGAAAATTATGCAGAGTGAAAGCCAATCTCAAAAGATTATAGACTATATGATTCCATTTATATAACGGTCTTGAACTGATAAAATTGTACAAATGGCAAACATATTTGTGGTTGCCAGGGGTTAAGGAGGCAATGGGCAGGAGGTGTCTCTCTGAAAGGGTAACATGAGGGATCCCTATGGTGATGGAAATATTCTCGATCTTGACTGTACCAATGTCAAAATCCTGGTTGTGACTTTGTGCTCTTAATTTCATAAAGTGCTGTCGTTGGGGGAATCAGGGTACATGGGATCTCCCTGTATTGTTTCTTCCAATTTCATGTAAATCTACACTTATCTCAAAATAAAAAGTTTAATTTGAAATATACATAAAAACATGTCTATAGGGACACACATTTTTCTCTTTGCCTCAGACTGCAGGATGGCTCTGCCCAGCACCGCCTGGCACTTGACAAGCATTCCATCTTGCCTCTTCTCCTTGACTTGCCCAACACAGAGTTGGGGTACGTGGTCTGACTGCAGGATAGATTATTTGAAGGGAAAATTGGGCTCTGAATACCTCCGGCTTTCCAATTCCTTTCTTACTCTCAACCATTCTGTTTTTCAGGATCTGGCCCTTTATAAAGCTGATGTAAAAGCCCATGGTTCCCTCTCTCTACACAGTACATCTCTAAGTAAGATTCCAGGATACCTTATGTCACAATCACCCAGGATACCTGTCTCAATGCATATTCCTGGGCCTAAAGGGGTAGAATTTTAACCAGCTCCCTAAATGAATTCTAATGCACACTTAAGTTTGAAAACCAATGGGGCTCAACTTTGTCTGAAGTCAAGATTTTTCTGGGGAGGCACAAAGAGTTCCCACGCTGAGATGTTCTCTAAAAGGACTTTCTGAAAGGGAAGAGTGGGGACCCCTGTGCCAGCCTTGGCTCCTGCTCCAATGAGGACACAGGCCACTCCCACTTTGGGGCCATTGGCTGGGAGCTCACCGCAGTGTTTGGCTCAATGAGGCGATGCTGCAGCTTCTGGGCATCTTCCCATTGCCCTGTGAGGCAGAGCCGCTCCAGCTGGCACACCTGAGCCCCCAGGACGTTGGCCAGGGCGCACACGCCGCCCACAGCTCCTGCCCCAGAAGTGAGATGCAGAACATCAGCCAGAGCCTCTTCTCGCAGAGAATTCCAAACCCTGGTCCCCAGCACCTCTTTGTTCTGGGCAGACAAGCTCTGGATTCCTACGCCCCTGGTCAGCCATGTTAAAGACATGCTCTGTGAGTTCACAGAGTATAGGCTTCCAGAGAGAAGACTTCCAGCCTATTCAAGGTACAGTCTCACAGGCTGAGGGGCAGAGAGCAGAGCCTGAAGGCTAACTCAAGGACAGTTCCTTCCTTGCAACCCCTGTGCCCGGGGGTAGAGTCCTACCAGCCAGTTGACACCTCCACGCTCCTGCAATAACCCCCTGACTCATCAGTCCTGGAAGCGGGTGGAGTGGATGGGAAGATTTGCTCAACTGAAATTTTATTCCCCCCAGTGAATTCAGCCTGGGACAGCGGTGGCGGTGGGGGTGGGGGAGGGAAAGCGCTCCAGACCCGGTCAGGAGACTGGGCATTTCCTCCCATTGGCTGCATGAACTTGGACAAGCCATCGACCCTCTCTGGTCCTCTTTGTTCTCGTCTGGGCAATGAAGATGGGCTGGCTGTGATCTCGGAAGGTCCTGCCACTTCTGCCAGCCTGTGAGTGTGATTCCAAGGCTAGTTAGGAGTGATTCTAAGCAGAGTGGCCTCAAGACTGGAGAAAGAGTAGGCAATTTGGAACAAGCTTATTAATATAGCTGCCATTTATTGGAAACCTACTATCTGCGAAGCACTATGGCAGACGCAGGGCCAGTGCTCTCTAATCCTCACAACGCCTACCGCGGCCCGGAGAGGGCAGCCACCTTGCCAGTGGTGCGCAGTGAATCCAGCAGAGCTCAGATTCCAGCTCCGATCCCTGGCCTCCAGAGCCCGTGCTCTTTCCACCTACCGCAGTCTCAGGAATGAAGCATAAATGGGTCCTCTCTAATTCCCCTGTACTTTACAGACTGTGACATGGCAGAAGGGAGATATGCAGGACCTACACTACAAGCCAAAGTCTGCAGAGACCAGAGAAAATAGGAATCAGCATTGCCCCCTACGTCACTGGAAAAGTAACTCAAATCTACATTCACTGGGGCTTCAGCTGAAAGGAGCAGATGCTTCCCTCCCTCCCCCTCCGTGGCTCAAATCCAACCTGAATCCAAGGACTTTGACCCCAAGCAGACAAGACCAGTTGATCTAATGGTGACATTCCTAGGATCCTGGACCAGAACAGAATCGGATCAGGCAACTGAAGATCCCCGGGCCAACCCTGCAGGCCTGATGATTCATTCTGGCGTGGGCCCAGGGAGAGAGGAGAATGCATTCCCGGTCTAGTGGGAAGGACCCCAAGGCCTCTGCCTCAAAGAATGATCTACAAGGTGAGATTAGAGGAGCTAAATTTGTCAGCTAAGCAGGGAGCTTAGGACTTAGAGCAAGCTGCAGGCATCCCCTCTACAGGGCAGGGATTGCACTCAGCCAGCCTCCTGCACCTAACAAGGCCACTCAAAAGCACTGGCTATTCAGAAAAGCAAGTAGTGTGCCGGACCTCTCGAGGGTTCCCAGCAGGCAGGCTGGCGAAGGCCCTCTGTAGACCCAGCCCTGGTCCTCACAGTCTATCCCAGCAGATTCCAGCTGCCTAGGTATATCTTGATCACTCATCACAGTTTGAGAGCTGCGAGATGCCTACCCACGGCATAGCCAGCCAGCAGGAAGCCAGCTGATCCAGCCAACACCTGGAAGTCCTGCCTCCTGGTCTTGTGAACAATCAGCCCGATCCTGGTCACCTGTAACAGCAAAGCTGGTGTGAGAGTTAGGCCCACAGGCTCCACTGCCAGCCTGGATGGGGGCTGGGCTCGTGTGGGAGAACAAAAGCCCAGGTCCCAGAGAGATGCCCCAAAGTTCAGACTAACCCCAGAGAGCCCACACGACAGAGGGAACCCACACAAAGGCCCAGGACTGAAGTGGGTCCCAGAGCTGCCCTGAAGTTGGTGGCAAAAGAGAAAAGGAGGGGATGGGGGGATGGCTCAAGCAGTAGAGTGCACGTTAGCATGCACGAGGTTCTGGGTCCCCAGTACCTCCATTTAAATAAATAAATAGAAAGCCTAATTACCCACCCCCCAAAAAATTTTTTTTAAAAAAAGAGAAGGGTGCCTTGGCCGAGAGTCGCTGCCACTCACATCACCACCGCTGTCCTTGATGCCCACGATATTCGGGTGCTGGGAAAGCGTGACCACCGCGTCCACAGGCAGGTCCAGCCCTGTGTTGGCTGGGACACTGTACAGCACCACAGGAATTGGAGACAGGTCAGCAACCTGACGGGTGCAGAGAAGACAGGAGAAGGCAGCTGCCTCAGACCTGAGGCAATTCGGGCCTGGGTCTCTGCAGGGCTACCTGGACAGGCCCCCCTCCTGGACTAAAAGCCACCGTGCCATGCATCCTGATTGCAAGCACTAATCCTGGGTAGTACTGAGGATTATTCAGTATTTTGTGTTTTGTTCTTTATGTTAGTCCTCACAACCACCCCAGGAGGAAGATTCCAGCATTCCTCTCATTTGAGAAGGGAGGAGACAGTGACACAGCATGGTTAGGTCAGTCACCCACTGTCACACAGCTGGTACATGGTAGCATCTCTCCCCTTTCCCAAAGCTGCCATTCACGGGAAGTAGGCTCACCACTCCACTCCCAGCTCCTCTCACCTCCCCTCCCTGGGCAGAGTCTCTGCCTCACTCAGCCTTCCTTTGGCCCCAGGCCCCCAACTCATGCCCACCCCTCATGCCCACCTTGGTGTAGTGATGAATGAGGGCAGCACTGCTCATGCGGCCACTATAGTAGCAAGGGGTCACCACCATGGCAGCGTCAGCCCCGACCTGGGCCATGCTCACCGTCATCTCCACCGTGGCTTGAGTGGCTGCAGGAGGAAAGAGGGAGTCTTCCCTGAGGGGCTTGGAGGCTGAGGGCGGGAGGAAGAAGGGCTAGCCTATGACCCTGGGGCAAGAAAGGGGTGAAGAAGAGGCAGAATAAGTACTAGACTGGACCCCAGGGCCAAGGATCCTGCCATCCCCAAACCCAGCCACCGCCAGAGCCCTGGGCATTATGGCCTCACACTCGCAGCCGGAGCCAGCTAGCAGGAGCTTGTCCTTGGGCATGGCTTGGCGCACACGGCTCACTACCTCCAGGCGCTCACTGCTGGTTAGGAAGGGGAACTCGCCGTTGGAGCCCTGGACCACGAAGCCTGCAAGAGAGACCCCATCACAGCCAATGGCACCTTCCCATCCTCTGATGAAAAACCGGACCTTGGACTTCCACTCACCCAGGTTCCGACCTCCCCAGCACTACAGTCTTCCACACATGTCCTTCCCATCTTTGTCCTGAAGCAGGCAGAATGTTTTACCCAGTTGCAGGGACAGTGTTCACTATTTTTCTTTGTTTTAATGAGATGTTTTAGCCATACCAAAAAGAATAGATAATAATACAATCCACACCAGTGTACCCAGCACCCATGACAACCCTCCCCAGCTCACCTCCCTCTTCTTCGTCTCTGGCCTCTCTCCAGTGTTTAGTGTTCCCATTCATGTCTTTATACCCTTAAAACATAATCTGGACCTATAAACAAGATATAATATGGCTTTTGCCATTTAAAACTTTATAGAAGTGGAAACACACTTGCATAACCTTCTGCAGTTTATTGTTTTTGCTTAACATTGTGTTTTGAGCTTTGTCCATAGCAGTACAGGTAGCTCTGATTCATTCTTTTTCACTGCTGTGTAATATTCTCTTGTGAAGTTAGACCACAATTGACTTTTCATTCTCCCTTTTAGGACATTTAGAATATTTCCTATTTTTGCTATTACAAACAATGCTGAAACAAGAGTTTCTCTGAAGTTTAGATATATAGGTGTGTAATTGCTGAGCCAAATGCACAGGCATCTTCATGTGCCAAACTTTTAATTAGCCCATTCATACCCCCCTTAGCATATAAAAGAGACTGTTACTGCTTATCCACGCCAATACTGGGTATTGTCCAAACTAATTTTTTGCCAATTTTCTGGTCAAAAACTGACATTTCATTATTTTATTTTGTATTTTTATGTTTTATCCATCTTTTGAGAGGTTTCTAACATTATCAGTCAAAAGTGTCAGCCCTTTTATATTAATGAGCGACCAGCAGAATCGATTCTTTTCAGTGGAATCTGAAGGGAATGTTAAACCATTTTCCTCTCAGCTTTTTTCATTTAACTTTCTCTTTCCTCTTCTTCCTCCTCTCCATTCCATTCCAATTTTTTTCTTAAATACAGCATACAATACACGAAGATTATTAATAAATAAAAGACAGATTGGGAGAAAGAAAAGGCAAGAAAGCTGGGGGCAATATTAGTATTCAAAATCCCTACCATACAGTTGTGACAGATGGGCCAGAAATTTGACTTGGAGCTTCCTGATAGTCAAAGCTAAAAGGGAAATGTGATCATCTGACAGATATGTAGAAATCAAGACAAAGCAAGGCAGCTGCCTGGAGAAACACAGAGTTTCCTGGCACTAGGACCAAGAGAGATTGTTCCCGTGAGTCATCCTCAAGGGGACACAGTGTGATGGAGAATCAACTTTATACCACAACCCTCTCTCCATGCTGGTCACTACATCGTTAGAGGCCACTGAGTGGGTTGTCAGAAGAGCTCAACGGATATTTGGCATCGCCTCTCCCCCAGTTTTTTTGCCTTGGTAACATTGCTGGAAACATCTTGAGGCAAATAGCTTTTGGCTTCTGTTGGATTGCCTCCTCAGGGTCATTTCCTCCTCGTAGGCTAGGAGCCCGTGGTAGCAGCCTCCTTCTGTCTCGCTACATAAGGCACCAGTGTTTTCCCAGTGGGTCACCCCATTCGCAGAGTTGCCAGCCCCAGACGGGGTTCCAGTCCAGCCACGACCGGACCAGCACCCTCTGGCTAAGGATTTAGAGATCAAACTTTTGCTACTGCCCTCTGCCCCACTGCCTGCCAGCCTCCTCGAAGCAGGGCAGGGCGGGTTCTTGCTTCAGACCTGTCTCCAGCCACAGCCACTCACTCCCAAGTCCCCTTTCATTCTGGTGGTCAGTTCCAGAAGCCTCCAGTCCCCAAGGGTGGACTTGGCCTAAACGGCGGGACAGCTGGGTCTTGGGCTCTGCGGGTGAATCAGGGACCTGTGCTCAAGACACCTAGTGGCCTTTTCTCATTTCATTTAAGGGATCATCTACCCAGGCCTGACTCCCAAGAAGGAAGAAGTGCCAGGCTGGGGAAGAGGAATGTGACAGAGTCAGGCAAGTGCTGGACTCAAGTCCCCTCTGGCTATTGGGCAAGTCACATTGCATCTCTAAGATCCCATTTCCTTTTCTGTGGGATGACAATAAAATCACTTCAATCCCACCTTATAGAGCTGCCTTTAAGGCTGAAATGAGAAAAGGCAGGAGAAAGAAAGCACTTTGAAGTCTGTGAACTGATACTGCCAAGAGCCCCCTCCTTCTCCTTGACTAGATGTCCCATTTCAGGCCCAATGTGCCGCCCCTGGTGTAGAGATGGGGCTGGAGGAGAGGAAAAGGCCAAACACGGGATGGGTCTGGAGTGAGGAAAGTGACTGGTGGGGCAGCAGGGAGGTGGGAGGCATGGACTCTGAAGTCAGAGGAGCTTGGGTGTAACTCCCAGGGTGGCCCCTCACCAGCTATGAGTTCTTGGGCAAGTGGTTTAACCAAACCTCAGCTTCCTCAACTGAAAAATGGGGGTGATATTAGTGCCCTTCTTAAAGACTTGTTGTGAAGTTTAAATGAGATACTTATTTGTAAAGTGCTTAGACTAGAGCCTGGAACTCAGTAAGTGTTCTCTGCAGTCGTTATGGAGTCTGGAGGAAGTGCTCAAGCCTTAAATCAGGAGGGTGGCAGCTTTTGATTTGAGGAGGGGGAGGATGGCTGGTGTGGGAGGGCAGGCTGCACGCAAGAACCTCTCAGGCCCCCTCCAACTGTAAGAAGAAAGAGGTTCATTTTGGAAGTTTCTCTCCTTTCCCCCCATGGTGATTCTGGCTGCTCTGGGGAGCGAGTGGCCTGGTAGTGGGGGCAGGTGTTTGGGCAGGGGATGCACAAGCAACAGGATGACTTACTGTGGCCAAAAGGAATCACAGTCTCGTTTACGTAAGGAGCATCTCCAGTCACTGTTATGCCCCTTGGCCCGTCATCATTGCCACCTCCTCTGAAAAGTCTTCCTGGGATTAAGCCTTCATTGGACACCTCTCTTCTGAAATTCCATTACCTGTTCCTTGTCCTTCCCTGCTGCCTACTCAAAAATGCAGAGTTCCTCAGAACCCTTCAGTGTCCCCAGTCGCCACCTATGGGACTAGGCATAACTTCTCAAAATGACTTCTGTTATGAAATGAGGAAATTAGGCTGGACGGTCTCCTAAATCCTCCTTGGCTCAAGGCTTTGGAGTCAGTTTTGGGGCTTTTCCTCTTCCCTTTTGCCTATCTCTAAATGTTCCCCTTCAGCCAGACTGTCAAGGTCCCCTAGACACACTGCCACCATCCTGCCTCTACCCCTTTCCTCCTGCTGTTCCCTCTGCCCACAACACCTCCCTAGTTGCAGCCCCTCAAATGCTGCAGAGCCTCTCCTCGGGCCCCTCCCCCTGCGCTCCACCGTGTTTTGTTCCACCACTTGTCATACATTGTCTAGAAGCTTCAAGGTTGGGGATGGTGTCCCCCTCATTTTGGCCTCCGTGACACCTAGCACACTGCCTGTTGAGGTGTGTGTTGACAATTTGTTGTCAAAATTTTGGGAACTTTCTTGTATGATGTAATTCATAAACTCCCACTAGGAAGAAGTGAGCATTCTTGATGAAATGCTTCAACCATTTCCTAATGAGCTTTAATGAAATTAAGCCTGGGAAACCAGCCACCCTCCCAGTGGACTCTCAGACAAAAGTCTACTGGCTGTTAACTCTTGTATCTAGTCTAACAACGATTTAGCCTTTCTCTTATCTTATAAAGATGTCCTTACGAAGTGTGTATACCTGAGTTGGCTGTTTAGAAGCTCTTTTCATACACATAGTTGTAATAAAACTTTGACACGCACTGATAACTAAATCGTCTGAAAACATTTTGACTTTAAATTTTGAAATACTTTTAAATTTACAGGAAAGTTGCAAAAATGCTACAGGGGATTTCCATATATCCATTTCTCAGCCACCCTAAATAATAGCATCTTACCTAACTGTAGCACAATGATCAGAACCAGAAAATTAACATTGGCACAATACTAACTACAGACTTTATTTGAATTTTGCCAGTTTGAAACTTTTTAAAAGATTCCAAAGTCATAATCTGAAATTTTATGTAATAAGTTTTTAATAAGGGATTCAAGGCTTTCCAGATAAATGCATGCATCTTACGCGTTTTAAATCGTAATTTCAGAAGCCAAACCTCACTGCTCTTGCTTTTTGTCTAATATGACAGCTTCCAACATTTTCCAGTATGATTGATCATTTTTTTCCAAATAAGATTTTTATTATGGAGCACTTTAAATATACACACATATATGGATCAGCATTTAGATAAAGTCACTTACTAGTAATGTCATAAATATTCAAATACTCCCAACTATGCTCCATAAAATCAATTGACAACATTTAGGATATTTATAGATTTATCCATCATTTACAATGATTCTTTATTTTTAATTTTTTAGGGGGGAGAGGTAATTAGGTTTATTTATTTAATTAATGTTATTATTTTTAAATGGAGTATTGGGGATTGAACCCAGGACATCATACATGCTAAGCATGTGATCTACCACTTGAGCTATATACCCTCCCCCCTATCCTTTACAATGATTCTGGGCACCTTCTTCCTGGAGTTTGAGGCCCATAGTTTGGAAACCACTGGTAAATCCATAATAGGTAGGAAATTTCTATGTAAAGGAGACACTGGGGTTTAGACAGCGCCATATAACTGACTTCTCTCAAGTTTCGGGGGGATCCAGCTGCCCCCCTTTGACTGCCTAACTGGGGGCCACCTCTTGCTCCAGAAGTGGCTTCTTGGGACCCCGGAAAGGAGGCAGGGAGAGTCCCAGGCTTGCAGGAGGGCGCAGAGAGTGTCAGGACACGTGGGAAGAGGACAGGGATAAGTATTAGAGAGGTAGACCCATCTGGGGATGCTGGGCGTTGGCCTGGGGGGCAGCACAGGGCAAGGCTTAGGGGAATGGGGCTCTGATCCCAGCAACATCACTTACTATTTCATCTCAGGCAAAGTTCATCTCTGAGTTTCATCTGCAAAATTGAGATAACGTAATGCCTTCCACACGGGGCTGTGCCGTAACACAACACTGAGCATGGCATATACTAAAAAACTCAAAAAAAAAAAAGCAGGGGCAGTACTAATGCTACTATTTAGTAGTACTGCAGCCCCAGCCCCAGCCCCAGCCCCAGCAACAGCAACGGTAACATAAACCAGAAGAGAAGGTATCGCACACATTAGCTCTGAAGGTAGGTGGTGGGGAGGCACTAGCACAGATCCCAGTGGGCCTAAGGAAGCAGGCGGGGCAGTGAGAGAGAGCGCGATATGGGTCCACACGATCTGAGAAGCAGTACACAGGATGGGGGTGGCACCAAGAGGACAGTGGGCCTACATCCCACCCCTGCTCACTTCCTTGCTTCTGAAAGCCGATCTCTCCCTGCTCCTCCCAACCCCTGGCTGCTTCTTCCCTCCCTGGCAATAGCAAGTCTGTAGGGGCTGAGCCCGCTGGAGACAGCCCATGCCCAGGGCTGGAGACCTGGGCAGCCGATTTACCGAGTCTCGAATCAGCCCTCACGGAGAGGACTGTGGGATGAGGAACCCTCTCCCCACAGGCCTGCCCAGACCTGGGGCTGGCCACAGAGCCCCCAGACTCAGAGTGAGGGAATGCAAGGCTTTATTGGCTCATTTCCAGGCATTTGGCATCAACATGGTGCTCTCAGCGGCTCCTGGGATCTGCCTTGTCTGTCTTCTCTCAGTGGGTCTTCAGGGGCCTGTGAGTCTGTCTCAGCTGTTTCAGTTCCTCCCAGCTCTTTCTCCATCAGCGGCCATCAGTGGTAGACTCCACTCAAAGTCGGAGGGGCCTGAGGAAGAAGGGATTTGGGTGGCAGCATCTTACTCTGGGCCACATAGGTTGCCCCACCAGAGAGAAAACAAGCCGGAGATTGTGTGCCAGCCCTGCTGGGGTAAGGGGCATCTCCATCCACGGTTAGGTGGCTTTAAAGGGGTGATAGGTCTGATGGCTGCGGGTGGGCAGGCTGTGGCACTGATGGCTCGGGTGGCTTGGATAGCCCTGGTGGCCATGGTGACAATGGCCATGGAAGGTGTGTGTGTGGTTGGAGCCAGCTACGGTGGTTTCCCGCTGGTTGAGGAAATTCCCTTTCAACTTTATCTCCACCTCCTCGAGAGCCTTCAGCTCCTCCTGGTTGATGTCCTTGGACTCCAGGTGGCCTGAGTTCTGGCAAGCCGTGGCCCGCTGCAACATGGAGTTAGCCAGCTGCTGCCCCTTGGTGTCAATCTCCTTGGTACAGGCAGCCACAGCGGCCCACGTGGCCTCATCGGTGGACGAGGATTTTCCAGACTCCTTGTGGGTCTCTTTGATCACTGAGGTTCCAGACATCCTCTGCTTGCTGGTGAAGGACTCCCGGTGAAGAGCCGTGCTCTCTTCTCCTTGCCTGGTGGTGAAGGTCTCCACGCGAATCGTGGTGCTGGCCTCTCCATTGCCACTGACAGGCTGGGGAGCGGCGGCACTGCTGCTTGCCGTGGCCGTGTTGCTGGACGTGGCCGTGTTGCTGCCTGTGAGGCTGCCGGCTGTTGTGGTGTTGCTGCCGGCGGCCAGCTTCTCTTCGGAGAGACGGCTAAAGTGCGATTTGATCCAGTTCTCGTTTTTCACCTTGTGGCATTCTGGTGACTCCTGCTCGTCTTCTGCAGACTCAGGAGCTGTCTTCCTTCTCTTCTTCCTCTGCATCCACAACATGAGGCCTCCACCTCCGAGTACGAGGGCAGTCCCCAGCACCACCCTGCATGATGGTTGCTGGATGAGTTCCAAGAAAGTCTCCAGGACCCCACACCAGGCAGGCAGAGCTAAGAGCACACTGGGAGTAGGGGAGCCCAGACGGTATGGTTCATGCTTGAAAGGACAGGCTCCCCAAGGGTGTCTGGCAGGCAGGCCCCCTGCTGCACCCTCCTTAGGATGCCCCTCCCACCTCAGCAATGAACCCCATTGTGAGGAAGGTGGTTGGGGGGTGGGGTGGGGAGAGGCCACAGCATCCCTTATGTCTAGCCTGACAAGCCTGGCCTGAGGCCTGGGACCTGTCTCCCACTGTAACAGCTGTCCCCAAGGTCAGTAGAAGGGCAGCTTCCCCAATTCTGCATTCTGCTTGTGACCTATTCTGAAACTCAGGCCGTCTTAGCTTCCAGTCTTTGGTGTCTCTCCCTCCCTCCTGGTGGCCCACAGTGGGCAGAGGCTGAAGGACCCCATTGGCTGGGTTGGCATCCATTCCTAGCCACCTGAGGCTAGTGTCTCCCTCCATGCAGGGCCTCCACTTGCTGCCAGCCCAGCACATTCCATCCCCACTTGCAGCTCTCAGGCCCATTATAGAGCAGGGTCCAGAAGTAAAAGGGGTCCAGGAAGGAGCTCATTCTGGAATAACATGAAGTCGCAACTGGGGGATGCAAGCAGTGGACTGAGAAGGCAAAATACACAGAAGAGGAGACTTCACCCAGTCCCAGATCCCTGGGGCCATTCCAGGATCGGGGCTGTTACCCTTGCCTTAGTGATGCACCTGTGAACCCAGAATTTGTGTCCTCTGCCCTGTCTCCCCTGTAAATGGGCATAGTTCAGGTTGTGAGCTGGTGGGCCAGCTGGCCAGGTGCTCCGTAGGTACAGACAACTGAGAGTCTGACCCTCAATCCAAGTTACAGCCAGAGCCTCTTCAGGTAGAAACAGGCCTGGGCCACTCCCAGAGGCATATAACACATCTTTTATCCCAATATAGGGTTATAAAAATTGTGATATTTTAAACAAAATATTTTATTTAACAAAGTAATGGCTTTAAAATACACAAAAATATTATAGCTTATCAGAAGAAACCATGATCTCTTCTATGTAATAAGGAAGTAAGACAGGAGCTTAAAGCTTTATGGGAAATATCATCTCCCTGGTCCTGCTGGAGTAGCTCTGGGGTCATCCACTAACCTCATTTGGAAATAACAGTTCAAAGTTCATCTTTGAGGTTGTTTGTGGGTGTGAGTTCAGGGCCAAATGGCCCTTCTACAAAAACCCCTCCCTCTGGTCTCTGGTTACAAGTTTTAGTTTAAAAGAATACTCTTTATTCAAATAATGAGTATAAATTAACTATGCTAAAAAACAAATAAAAAAGAAAAAGAGCTACCTGGTTTCAAGCAATACCTTCCAGAAGAATCTCTTAACTATTCACTGATTCATCAAGGGCAGGTTTCAGCCTCCTCTTTGAAGGACCTTTAAATAATTGCAGGAGGGCCTGGCGACATATGTTTCCTCCCCTGCCCCTGAGTGTTGGGCTGCAAAGAGGGGTGAGGATCAGGCGGGAGAGACTCAGATTCTAAAGCTAAAATGGCTCACTGCTCCCTTCCCGGGCACTCTGGCTGCATCCTGGGAGCCGTGACGGGGCCCTATGGCTCGATATTCTCAGTGTCAGGGCCTCAGGTTTGAGCTCCTTGGGAGGACTGTGATGAATGCTTTGGCCCAGTTCCCATTCTGAAATGAGGAAACTGGATTAGAGAGGTTCAGTGATTTTTTTTCCAAGTTCACTGTAACTGGCAGAACCAGGACTCTTACCCAGGTCTTCTAACTCTGGACTCTGGGCTCTTCCCCATGGCACCCCTGCCCACTGTGTATGTGTGGGTAAGATATGAGGTGGGGGCCGGCGCCTTCACAGGTCGTATAGGAGACGGACCAGTGGCTGACCTACTGAAGCCACCACAGCCTGTGCTCCCAGGTACCCCTGTCCCCACTGCAGGAGTGGGTGGTGGGAGGGAAGGAAGGATCCAGAGAGGAGCCTGGGGTACGGGCAGACACCAGATGTAAAGCCCAGTCTCCTCACCCCCTGCACTAGGGTGTCCTTGAACCAGGGAGGTGAAGAGTCTTCTCTCCTTTTGGAGATTCAAGGAGCTTCTCACTTTGCTTCAAGAGAACCAGGCATCAGCCCAAACCTTCAGGCTCCAGTGAGCTGAGCCCCAGCAGAAATGTGCTTAGGGTTTGTGTCACTGCTCAGTGTGGACATCCACAGGACATACACTGTCCCCTAGGGAAGGGTCACATCATCTCAGCACTGAGAATCGAATGGGGTCTCAGGCCAGCGGGTGCTGTCGCAGAGCAGCTCTGCCCACGATGACAATCGTACTGTCATACAATAATCATTGTCATTGGAATCCATACCTTCTGATTTATCTCACTCTTCAAAATTTATAGCACACTTGCACTTCCATCTCTCAGATTTTCCTCCCAATCATCCTATGATGTGGCTATTATTACTCCCACGATGGGGTAACTGAGGTTTAGAGATTATCTCATAGCTAAGTCAGTGACAGAGCTGTGATTTGAATCAGGAGTCCATGTTCTTCACTGCTCCACTGCACCGCCTCAGTTGGAACCACTCCATTCCCACGGTGGTGCCCACCAGACCCTATTTGTAGGAATGATCTTGTCTAGTGACCTAGCAGCCAGTGTGGTGGAGTGAAACCGAGCAGGGCTGCACACTCAGACTTGAGTTCAAATCCTATCTCAGCCATTTATTAGCTGAGTGACCTTGGCAAGTGACAGCATCACTTGGAGCCCCAGTTCTTTTGAGAGCACTCGGGGAACTGTCAGTGCAGGGGATGGATGCAGGTGGACAGGACAGGATGAGTGGAATCTGCCCCTTCTCTCATCTTCATTTATTGTGCCTGTGGCTGTGTTGTAGGTTGGTCTCAGAAATATGATCTAGTCCCTGACCTCAGAGAGGGGAGGCCCATGTGTAAAGGGGAAATGGGTCAGAGGGTCCAGAACAGAAATCAATTTGACCAAGGAAGGCTTTGCCCAGAAGAGAGTGTGTGAACAAGATTTTGAGGGAGATGAGCCCACTGACTGGGCTGCCACATGACACCACATCTACCCTCACATCTGTGCAGAATACCTGGTTGACAAAGGCTTTCATCCATTATCTAGTTTGACCCCCACAGTAATGCTGGGTTAAGACAAATTTTAGCAGTTTGCTGCTGGGAAAACGGAAGCAGGAGAGATTCAGTCCAAGATCCCAGCCCAGCAGTTAACTTCCCACCTGTCTCCTGTTCCTCTCCCATAATAAGACCACTCCACAGTACCTGGCTATCCCAGAGCAGCTCAATGGGGCCTTTGTACCCTCCTCTGGTATCTGGCTGAGGAGACCAGAGTCATTCACATCTCCCGGACTCCCACAGAGGATAGAACCCACTTACCTCGAAAGGGAAAGGTGCCCAGTTTGTGCAGATTCTCCTCCAGTTTCTCATAGTCTACCTCTGCGGTGGCAGTGAAGGGGGTGGTCACAGGGGGATAGATGCCTGCGATGTCCACTTTCTTCCCCTCCCCCGAGGCCCAGGCCCCTACAGTCCTAAACAAGCCCCTGCTCAGCCCCTGCCTCACAGAGGACCAGACTCTGGGGCCCAGCATCTCCACAGGAGGCTTGAGGCCCAGCTGGTCTCTGCCCCCACGGGATGCTGAGTTTGGACTCCTTCCTAACCCTGTTAATAATCAATGTGCCTAGTTAAAAATTTGCTGCCCCCTGACTTGTTGGCCCTGGGGCCGGCCTGGGCTGGGTGTTCCCAGGGTCAGAGGCTGGACCTAGAGTCCCCAAGGAGGTCTCCCCTCCCCCAGGGAGCAGCTGGAGAAATGCCACAACCCATGTCCCTCCGGCCAGATAGAGAGCTGGTTCTTAGGGTCCTGCCACTAAAGAATGTCTCCAGTGGGGCCTGGGCCGTCTTCCCACGATTCCCAGCCCCAAAGCCAGGAGCCCAGCTGGCTTCCGCTCGGCAGTTAGGAAGTTGGCAGAGCCGGAGCCGATTGGCTGCGCCGGCCCTGCCCTGTGGGAGGGGCTGAAGGCTGGGTGAGACGCTGCCTGTGATCAGCCGGCCCAACTGCGCCACTCCCCTGCCAAGTTCCTCCTGCCAAGGTTGCCACGTGACAGGCCTGTGCTGGCCATGCACAGCCCCACTGGATGGCTGTCGCTAGGAGGGGGCTCCAGAACGAGAGCCCTGCGAAGCTGATCCACGCTGGGTCTCGTGAAGAGGGGCGGCAGGGAAGAGGCGAGGAGAGCCCTGGGTGGGAGAAGCAGCAGGGCTGGTTCAGGGGTCAAAGGGCTCCACGTTCCCCACTTGCCTGAGCCCATACTGCTCCCATTTAACTATTTCAGATACAAATACAAACGGATATCACACATAGCAAAAAAGACTTTTTTATTGTGGTAGCTCATGGGTGCTCCCAGGGCGTATGCAGAGGAATGGTGTAGTCCTCAGCTCTGGGGGCCATTCTTATGACCCCCTGGCTGTACGCAGGGGACAGGTCAGGTGCCGGCTGGGCTGGGACAGGTGTTTACTGGGCTGGTTCAGGCTGGGGGGTCTCCCGTCCACTCTCAGCAGACCCCTCCAGCCCATTCTGCTCCGACCCCGGCTCAGGGTGCTCCAGAGCATGCCGGGTGTCAGCTTGCCACAGCTGCACCAGGTCCGTGGGGGTCTTTCCTGCCTGGGGAACCAGAGGAGATCTGGTCACTGTTCAGAAGTCTGTACTGGAAGTTGCCCTTCTCTGGTGGTTCCTGACCAGGAGCAACTGGCAATGTCTGGAGACATTTTTGGTTATTACAATCTCCAGGGTAGGGGTAGGGGAGATGTACACTGGCATCTTGAATAGAGGCCAAGTATGCTGCTCAGACATCCTATAATGCGCAGGACAGTCCCCCCATAACAAAGAATTATGCAGTCCAAAACGTGCATAACACTGAGGCTGAGAAGCCCTCATTTACACCTTCCCCATATCTTCTTGACTTTCCCATTATCCCCTCAGCCTTTCCTGAGTCAGGGTCCCCCCCTTACCCAATTCTCCTCCCTTTTGTGATTGCTCTGGGCCCCAAAGAAGAGCTTGGCCTGGATCCTAGGAGACAGGATCCTAAGAGAATGGAGGGCCATAGGAACCAACATGGGGTGCTAGGAACGATCGTGCTGGCCAAGTGCTTAGCTTCCTTCCAGCTCTGTCCCTCCACGATTTTGGCCTCCCTGAACCTGGACATAAGGACCCCCTGTGCCTGGACATAAGGACCCCCTGTGGACTATTTTGGGGCCTTTGAGAAGTCCTCTTACTGCCCCTCTTACTGGCTATTTTTTGGCACTTAGATTCTCTGGATGTCGGTAAGCATAGAGAAAGTTGGGAAGATGGATGTATCCCAAATCCCCAGCGGCCCAGAGAAAACCTCTACTGTGAGAGTGCTCCAAGGGCAGGCTGGCTGAGTCTCGCTTATTTCTGTGTTTCCTTCGAGTACCCAGCACAGGGCCTAGGAAAGTAGTGCACACTGTTTACTGAATCAGGGGAGGAATGAACTTACCAGGTTCTTGGACATCATGTCAGCCCCATGCAGGAGCAGTAGTTTGATGATTTTGTAGCGGTTGAGCCTCACGGCATCGTGCAGGGCACTGTCCCCTTCCTAGAGCCAGGGTGACACTCAGCATGGCCCATGTGGGAGCCTTCAGGCTGCCCACACCCCTATGGTGGGGCTGGGCAGGAGGGAACCCAGACACTCACTCTGTCTTTGGCATTGATGTCCAGACCCAGGGATAGAAAATGTTCCACGATCTCCACGTGTCCCGTCCGGACTGCCACGTGCAGGGGGGTGCTCAGCAGCTGGGTGGGGAGGAAGCAGGTACTGATGGCTGAAGGAAACTGGACTGTGGTGCCTCTGGGAAGGGGCTGTCTTAAATCCCCCTAATCCTTCCCCCAAATCCTAGTGTCATGGTCTGCATTCTGGAGGGGCAGGAAATGCTATAACTTCCCCTTATACCTGATGATCTAACTCAGACATTGTATGCCACCTCCTCTGGGAAGCCTTCTATGTATGGTTCCCCTCTCACCCAGATGTGAGCAACTGCTCACTCCTCTGCCCTTTTTAAATATTTATAATAGATGCCATTTATTGAGAGATGACTATCTGATAGGCATGGCAAAAGTTTACAAAACATCAACCTTATGTTCAATAAGTAATTAATTTACATACTTTCCCCATCTAATCTATACAAGAACTCTGCAAGACATTTTATAGATGAGCAACAGAGGCTTGGAAGCTGTCACTTGTTCAAGGTTATATACAAAAGATTGAGTTAATAAAAAATGGTGGATGAATAAATAAGTGAGTAGATAAATAAATAAATGGATGAACAGATGGTTGAGTGGGTGGATAGGCAGATGGACAGAAGGATGATGAAGGACTGCGTGGCTGAACAAACCTCTCATCTTTTGAGTGGTCCCAAAGCCATCAAGATACTGGATCTCTTCTCCTCCCTCCTCCTCCTCTGATCTTCCTGCTCCCATTCCTGGATGGTGGTCTCCAAGGGTCTGCAGTTGATGGCAGGGAGCCATCCCTGGGCTCTGCAGCCACTCCAGAAGCCAGACTAGCTCACTACCCTCCTGCCTTCTTGGCTTTTCTGCCCTCTGCTTCTCCCACACCTTGCTACCCCACCATCTGTGAGCATGATTGCCTCACCTTATCCCTCACGTTGGTGTCTGCTCCTCGGCTTTGCAGGAGTTTCACCACCTCCAAGTGGCCCCCACGGCAGGCCCAATGCATGGCTGTGCAGTCCAGCTAGAAGGGAAGGTTAGGGCCTGATTTCAGAGCTTCAGGGAAGAAAGTGCCCTGGGGGAAAAGACCCCAGCCAAGAAGGCAGGAAGATATCCAGGGGAGGGGTCCAGGGAAGGGACAGGGCCACACCAGTGACTGGGCAATGGATGGGGTGGATCAGAAGAACCCTCAGGGCCCATCTAGTCTGAGCCACATTTACAGAGGAGGCTCCAGGAGGAGACAGGAGCTGCCCAAGCTCATACAACCCACTAGAGGTGGGGCCTGGCCCTCAAGGCAGCCTGTTTCTGTCCCAGGTTGGAGGTCTGCAGGGATAAGGAGTCTATTAGTGCTGGACCCAACCCACCTCCTGCCTCCCACCCAATACCTGCCCTCTTACTCACCCGATCCTGGAAGTCCACAGTGGCCCCATTCTCCAGAAGCTTCTCCAGGATCTCCATGTGGCCCTCCAGGGAAGCTCGGTGCAGTGCTGTCCGGCGAAACTGTCCCCAGAGAGACTGTCAGGGCCTAACCTCTGGCTCCAGGCCTGAGCCCATCACCCACCCAAGCTGATTCCAGGCCTTATACCAGCTTGATGCTGACCCCTGGGCTGAGTCCCCATATTTTCCATGTTCTGCCAGCTCCTTCATGCTCTATCCAGACAAGCCTTGGAGCCTCCTCTGTGCTGGGGACTCAGACCTTCTCACTGCTCCCAAGCACATCAAGCCAGGCCTTTGCACAAGCTGTTGCCTGTGCCCAAATGTCCATTTTGGCTGTACTTCCTGTGAGTGCTTGATGAATTCCAGCAACTCCATCAAGATGCAGCTCAAGTGTCATTGTCTTCTTGAAACCTCTGGCCCAGAGCGGTCTCCAGAGCCCAGACAACCCTCCCTTTGACAGAGTGTTCAAGGGCAGGCCGAGTCTTACCTGACTATTTCCCCTGAGTGCCTAGCCCAGGACCAGGATGGCTAGATGCACCCTGATCACTGATTCGAGAAGGGAATGAACTTCCTTTTTTCCCAATGCAGTTGGCTTTCTGCTTTGGTCCCTTGAAACACTCAGGCCAGAGGGCATATCTTTCCATATTCTAATGATCTGATTATGCATGTCTCCCAGCTACTGTCAACCCTTTTTGTTTTCGTGCTCCCAGCACCTAGCACAGTGCTCAGAGGTGGGCGGTGCTTAGATAGACCAAGAACCTGGTATCTGAAGAGTGGAAAGAAAGAACATGTAGTCTAAAGCTACAATAATGCAGGCAGAAGACGGTGACCATTAATTTTGCTCAATCTCAGGATATGATCTCCAGAGAGCACCCAACAAAGTGTGAAAGTGGCAGTTTCAGGAAAAAAAGAAAGAAGCATGATGGGTGATGGAAATGTTGAAAATCATGGGGATGGTTGCACAACATTGTAAATGTAATGAATGCCACTGAATTGTACACTTAAAGTGGTTAAAATGTCACATTTCACGTTATATACATTTTTTCTTTTCATAATAAAATAAAAATAGTTTTTAAAGTGTGATGGTATACGATGTGACGCAAGAATATCATATCCTAGCATGTGCTTCATGGTTTTTTCATTCATTCAATCCATACTTATTGAGGCATTAGTGTTCTATTTGATCCCCATAACCTGCTCTGAGGGAAGGAGGCAGCTTTACAAACTGAGGCCTAGAGAGATGACAGTCCTAGCCGCAGGTCACATAACTAGGGAGTGGTAGACGTGGGATTCGAGCCCAAATCTCCTGGTTTTGGACTCTTCATATTTGATTCCATCCTCTTTCTTCCCTAAAAGTCCAGGTAATATTTACTCTGGAGGTGGTTCAAGTTGGAAAGGATTTAGAAAAATTCCTGTGGGGCTAAGGGGGCATCCCAGTTCTGAGGGGTTCCCTCCCAAAGGCCACCCATGCCTGTTCTCAGACAGACCCAAAAGTGGGCGTGGCTGGGGTGGGAGCTCTGAAAGGGAAGCCGGCACAGATGCAGGGCCCAGTGGGAACATCACCTGATCGCAGGTGTCAGGGGAGCCCCCGTCGGCCAGGAACTTCACAATGACCTTCATTTTCCCCTCCACGGCCGCTTTCAGGAATGTCTCCGCATCCACAGGGCCAGTCTGGAGGGCATGAATCCAGTCACGGAGTCGGGGGGCGCCCTGCCATGATCTGAGCCATCCCCCAATCCGAGGCTCCCTGCCCACACAGGTGT